CTCGGTGTATACTGAGTGGGGACATACAGTCTCTGTCATGGTCAGACTTGCTTCACCTAGTAGTAGTCTTCCACCTTCATTTGCTCTTGCAAATGCCAGTACCTCATTGTTTTATGGCTGAGTAGTATTCCACAGTGTATATGTGCCACACTTTTCAATTCACTCATCTGTTCATGGACATTTGCGGTGGTTCCATGTCTTAGCAATTCTGAATAATACTGAGATAAATGTAAATTAGTCCAGCCACCATGGAGAAGAATATGGAGGTTCCTCAAAGACCTACAAATAGAACTACCATATGACCCAGCAGTTCCACTCCTGGATACAGGATAGGAATGCATTCAGTCAGAAAAACACTTGCACATCCATGTTTGCTGCTTATTAATTTAGATATCTGCATTTGGTTGTTTAAACCAACTTCGGTCCCTATTACTGGATTTCGTTTTCAGAGACTATTCCTGCCTCTGCTTCTGAGTAAAGCTATTCCTTTTGTGGCCTTTGTCCTCACAGCCTGTTAGCGTGGCCAGAGGTGAGCAGCCGCTGTTTCTGTGCATCTCGCTAACGTGCATTTGTAGCCCTGTCCGAGTGGGCCCGTTCTGCCTGTCGTGGGCATCTGGTGGGAGAGTGGTGGACTTGGGACTAGGAGCCCAGGTTTCTGTCTGGGTGCTGCTGCTGCCTTGGGTAAGTTTGAGAACCTTCCCCTTCTGTCTGGAAATGAAGGCATAAATCTTGTTTTCCTGGGGCTATGGGGAGATTATAGGAGAAGGTTTGTGTAAAAGTCGTTGGCATGTAATAAGACAAGTTCTTTATCCCACTGGGTCTGGGGACATCTGCATGGAGCAGCCACCGGCTATTCTGAGACAGATCACATCTGGCCCTTGTTTTCACCTGCTCACACTCACCCCGCACACTTGTCACGTGCTGGGCGGTGGCTGCTCTCTTACTATAGGTAGCTCGAGAACATTCCAGACTTTCTCTACATGAGAGCCCTCACTCTCCTCCTTGCTGCTGTTTCCTCCTGTCCGGGCTGTGCCGAGCTCCGTCCTGTGCTCGTGTTTCCCTTTCAATCCACACAGATAGGGACTGGCTGCTGACCTTGTCCTGGGAGGCCCCAGCTACCTGAAAACCCCAGTGCTGCGGGCATGTCTGAGTCTGGGATCTGGCCAACCTGGACATCCCCCACCATTCCAGGAGCCCTCCTGTGTCCCCTCCTCTAATCAAATCAACCTGAACCCAGGCCAAAGGTCAAATATGTATTCATTTAAGACAAGAATCATGGCAACACCAACAGTTCCAGCAATGCTGCCTGGAGGGTGGACGAGATGGTTGCGGGCCTCCTTAGAGGCTATAAAACATAAAGCAGATATAAAATGTTCAGGGCTGGGCCAGGGGCAGTACAGTGGCTGAGGCGGCGGGATCCCGTGTGGCCGACGTGCAGCTCAAGGCTGGGACCTCCTGGCTTGAGGAACACAGCAGACTGTGCGCCTGCCTAAAATCCCAAGAGGAGAGAGATGGAGGAAAGAGGGTTGCAGCACGGTCATTTCCCCAGAGGTGACTTCTCACTTTCATTCTCTGTGTCTACACGGCCAGTGCACATGCCTTGTAGCAAAAACCCATGACTAAATAATCATGAATTAAAATTACAGCTTCAAGTTCATGGTAGGATACTTGGTGAGGGGCAGGGAATTCCAGAGACTCCATCTTAGCCTGACCTAGAATCTACGATCTACAGGTAAATGCCAAACTTAGAGACGTATTTTTGCTTTCCCCTGCTACTCACGGAGCCAGGCATCCCGCCTTCGGCCAGATTCCCCCTTGTGGTCCAGCTCTGCCCTTCCCCTCCCCAGCCCCTGCCACCCCTCACTCGCTCACTGGTGTCTTGCAGGCCCGCAGCTCCCAAGCACACAAGGATGAGGGGGGAGAATGTCACCAAGGTCAGCGCCTTCATCCTGCTGGGCTTCCCCACGGCCCCCGCGCTGCAGTACCTGCTCTTCCTCCTCTTCCTGCTCATCTACCTCTGTGTCCTGGTGGAGAACCTGGCCATCATCCTCACCGTCTGGGGCAGCACCCCTCTGCACAGGCCCATGTACTACTTCCTGGGCTCCCTGTCATCCCTGGAGATCTGGTACGTGTGCGACATCATCCCCAAGATGCTGGACGGCTTCCTCCTCCAGCGGAAGCGCATCTCCTTCATCGGGTGCATGACGCAGCTCTACTTCTTCAGCTCCCTGGTGTGCACCGAGTGCGTGCTCCTGGCCTGCATGGCCTACGACCGCTACGTGGCCATCTGCCACCCGCTGCGCTACCAGGTCATCGTGACCACGGGGCTGTGCTTGCAGCTGGTGGGCTTCTCCTTCCTGAGCGGCTTCACCATCTCCGTGATCAAGGTCTACTTTATCTCCAGCGCCACGTTCTGTGGCTCCAACGTCTTGAACCACTTCTTCTGTGACATCTCCCCCATCCTCAAGCTGGCCTGCACGGACTTCTCCACTGCAGAGCTGGTGGACTTCATCCTGGCCTTCCTCATCCTGGTGTTCCCGCTCCTGGCCACCGTGCTGTCCTATGGGCACATCACCCTGGCCGTCCTGCGCATCCCCTCGGCCACTGGCCGCTGGAAAGCCTTCTCCACCTGCGCCTCCCACCTCACTGTGGTCACTATCTTCTATACGGCCTTGCTCTTCATGTATGTCCGGCCCCAGGCCATTGATTCGAGGAGCTCCAACAAGCTCATCTCTGTTTTGTACACGGTCCTCACACCAATGGTGAACCCCCTGATCTACTGCCTGAGGAACAAAGAATTCAAGGATGCCTTGAAAAAGGTCTTTGGCTTGGGTGCAGCTCCTGTGTAGGAAGCCTAGCTTCTGCTCTTCCTGTCCAAGCTCGGAGAATGTCCAGCCTCTCTGATGGGGCCACTCAGGTGCCGTGATGGGAACTCGTGCATGGTGCAGTGCTGCGGGGACTTAAAAATGACTTCCCCATCCTTTCGCTCCTTCAGCTCATGGAGGTTAGTAATGTAGACACTGTTGTGGGGTCATAAAGCCATTGTTTTTCTTCATTTCATGTTAGAGCAAAGCAAGAGTGGGTCGAGTTTAGTTTTCCTCATCTTTAAAATTACCGTGCACATTTCAGACAAAAGCAGAAGAGTTGGCATTTTAAAGTCCTCAGTAAATTTCTGTGCCTCTGGGTATGAGAATGCTCACCTGCCTGACGAGTTGACTCCAGGTGGCCCCAAAGCAGAATGCCGGGGAACTCCAAGAGCCTGTTGCATTTTGTTTTGTTTTGCTTTTTATTTTTTTTTTAATTGCCAGAGGGTGTATGCACTTGCCAGAGAGACAGACAGAGGAAAAGTGAGAAATCCCCCCAGGGTGGATGGCCATGCTGCAGTCCCCTCTCCTCCCCTCTCCTCTAGGGACTTTGGGCATCCACGCACACATACTCAGAGTGATTGTCAAGCTGCCAAGTCCAGGACTCGAACCATGATTGACCATGTGGGAGTCTAGCACTTTAACCACCACAGCACTTCCTAGAGCCCATTGCTTTCTGTCTTAAGCACACAGGCGTCTTCTCCGACACCCGTGGGTACCAGCTTCTTCTCTTTTCTGCTTAGACCCCCCCACCCACTGCCCAGTTGCTGAGGGAATAAAAGCGTTTTCCTTCTGTGCGAGTCTCTCCGGATTGACCCATAATACACGCAGGTGCTGGGAGCCCACCTCTGTTCACTGTTGGACCCCTACAGCCCATCGTGGTGCCTGGGCCCATGGACAAACGGGCCTGCTGGCTGGCAGGTGGTGCATGCATTGCAGAAGCACACTGGGCATCGCTGGAGCAGAAGAGAGCAACCCTCGCTGGGTGCAGGGGGTTCTCATCCTAGAACACGAGTGGGCAGAGTCACGGCGAAGGGGGAGGGGCAGGGTGCTCCCGGTAGTGCTCGGGACAGCAAAGCCTCGGAGGCAGAGGGTGGCAGGAGGCTGAGCTCCAGGGGCTAGTGTGGTGGGACCCCATGGGCACGGCCCCAGCACAGTCTTGTGCCCGTGGTTAACGCTGGGCAGGCCCGTTCAGGTCCCCACCTTTGGCAGTCCGTTTGGCAGGTACGTGAGAGATGAGTGGAGACCCGCTGGGAGAGAGACTGGAGGAAGCAACGAGGCTGTCCTGGTGGGGGACGAGCACTGCCCGGACTGGATGGCGGATACAGGGGTGGGACAGAGGACCAGGGAAGACGTGAGAGCTGGGGTTTGGGTAGGGGAAGGAAGGCGTTCGAAGTGCCTCCGGTTTGTGGTTAGGGAAAAACAGCCCGCAGAAGAGGGCGTGGGGCTGAGCCTGAGCTGAGGGAAGGGAGGTCGAAGGCTTGGGCTCGGATCCTGCCGAGAGCTCTGCTACAGGTGCTGGCAACCCCATGGCCCCATGAGACCCTGAGACCCTGTCCCCTCACCCAGCACAGCTTCCTCAGGCCACACGGAGCTACCACTCTGGGGCTGGTGCCCCTGCAAAACCCTACGGCCCTATCCCCATACTCTCCACGGGCCTAGCACCATACATGCCCTGTCTGTCCTAAAGACATGCCTGGACACAGCTACCTGAACTGCAAGGGCCTCCCGAAAAGCCCAGGCCTGAGGACAGCAGCCCCTCCCCACACGTCCACCACCACCTTGCTACGGCCCTGCACCTCTCCTCCTGTGGCCCTGCATGTGTGCCCCCCAGGCTGTTCCAGTCCATTCTGTTGCTAATAACAGAAAATGCCTGAGGCTGAGAAACTTCAAAGATTGAGCTTTCTGTGGTTCATTGTGTGGAGGCCCATGGTCTAGGGGCCACATCTGGGAAGACCTCATTGCTGCTGGGGACCCAGTGGTATCACAGCAGGTGGAGGGCAGGAGGGCTCGCAGAGCAGAGAGGTCCCCTATGTCAGTCCCTTTTCTAAACACAAGGGAACTTAAAACAGGCCCACCGGAGGCCAACCACTCCCCTAAGCCCTACCTCGTGACGCAGTGATCAGAGTGGCTCCCCTTCACCTCCACTAATAGCCCTGGGCTGGCACGTGGAGCCCTGCAGGACGTGTTCAGGCACGGCGCCCATTCTAAGAGGTGGGCGCAGATGCTCCGGCTGCTGGCACTGTTGGAGCACCAGGACCACCTGGAGCAGCAGGAGCATGGCTTGAGCCTTACGCAGGACCTGAGGACACTGGTCCAAGTGCTATGGCTGCTGCTGGCTGCCACCTGCTCCTCAACTGGTGGGACCTCCCCCCACTAGAGCCTGAGGTCGCCAGGACCCTCACACCTGCACCTGCGGCAGCAATGGCACCTCACTCATGTGTAAAGACATATATAGATGAGAACAGAAGATGAACAAAGTCTATCACGAAATAGAAACCAGAGTGAGAAGTAGCTGCCTTGAGAGAAGCTCCCAACCGGTGCCCTTCTCCTTCCAGACCCAAAAGCTGGAAGGGACAGGGAAATCGCAGGTCTTTTCAGAGGTGTCTACTTCCATCCGCGGCATGCCCCGTCCATTTCAAGGCCAGGGTCATGGCTGAGAAACCCCCAGCCAGTGCCCTTTTCCTTCCAGACCCAAAAAACTAAAAAGGTAGAGGAATCTCTCTCTCTTTCTTCTTCTTCTTCTTTTCTCTTATTTCTCTTTTTTTCTTTTTGAATTTTCCCTTTCTTTTCATTTTTTTTGTTTTTGAGAGGTTTTTGCTATATGGGGGGGGCAGTCACCAGAAAGACAGAGACAGAAAGACAGAAAGCGAGAAATCCCCTCCCAGGGGGGATGGCCACACCACAATCTCTTCTCCTCCATTCTCCTCTTGGGATCTTGGGCACACATGCACACGCGTCTGGCGTGAGTTTGGGCTGCCGGGTCTGGGACTTGAAACATGGTCAACTACATGGGAGTCCAGCGACATAGCCATTACACTAACTGTTGGTCCCACTATCTTTTTTCGATTAAAATTTTTTTTATTTCATTTTTCTCATGCTTTTTTCTTGCTATATTTCCTCTCCACCTTCCACAAAGGACAGGGAAACTGCAGGCCTTTCCAGCAGGCATCTATTTCTGTTTTTTTTTTTTTTAAATGTTTATTTGTTTATTCATTTTTACATTTTATCACATGTCTTTACAGTATACATTTCTTTTTCCAACACAAATACCATGCATGTCAGTCAAGACAAGAATATTACTGTATACATTATTATCAGCAAATAGTGTCTCATTTTTTGTGAATTAAGTATACTTTTACCCGTTTTTTCCTTCCCTTTTCCCCTCCCTCCTTTCCATACTAAACTCTTTTTTTGACTTTTATTGATTCACAAAAAACCTTAAAGTATGGACAAAGCTAGAATCTAGTGACAAGTGCACTGTAATTTTCTTCTGAAACATTCTTTTTTTTTTCTCTCCATTCCCCCTTATACTAATGAGAGGTGTAAACTAGCTTATTTGCAAAAATAAAATAAAATAAAATAAAATAAGATTAATCTTAAGTTGATCTGTTATTTGCACAAAGTCCCATAAGAATTCAATTTCTGTTGTGAGGCAACAGATACTATTATATTATTGAACTTATGCAAATAATCATTCTGCCATAAAATAAGAATGTTCACGAATATTTTCCAGTTGCAAAGGGGTCAGAAAGGGAGAAAAGTTTATGTTTCAATTTTAAAAATTCTTTTTTTAAACAAATTGCTGAACCCAACAACTCAAAAAAATTGTTAAATCTGGAAGACAAAGCACAGAAAATCAGTAATGTTTTAGCAAAAAAATCAGAATCCTATTTCACCAGTTCAGTTTCATGTCATCTCTCTCTCGTTGAATTTGCAGTATTACTGGGGTCTGACCTTTCGGTTAGCATTCAGCATTATTCTTAATATTTCAAAACTTGTCCCTACCATTAAGTTGGCCTTTTTCTTGGTCATTATTTGTTCTTTTATTTATTGGTCTTAGTTTTCCTGATATAGCACTTCCCTCAGAACTTCTTGAAGAATTGGTCTGGTGTTGGTAAATTCTTTTAGGTTTTGTTTATCTGAGAATGTTTTTATCTTTTCTTCCTATATGAAGAATAATCTTGCCAGAGATAGTATTTTTGGTTGAAATTGTTTTTCACTTAACTCTTCTCTTTGAATATCCCATTCTTTCCTTGGTCACATTGTTTCCAATGAGAGGTCCGCTGTTAGTCTGATGGGATATCCTCTGAAAGTAACTTGACATTTTTCTCTTGTGGATTTTAGCATCTTGTCTCTGACTGTGGTTTTGGTCAATCTGGCTATGATGTGCCTTGGAGAAGATCTCCTTGGGTTGATTCTATGTGGGGTCCTTTGTATTTCTTGGGTCTGGATGCTTGAGTGCCTTTCTAGACTTGGGAAATTTTCTTCCAGGATTTCATGGAATAGATTATCAGTATCCTTATTAGTTTCTTCACCTTCTGGGATACTGATTATCCAGATGTTTACATGTCAAATGGTATCTAGTATTACTTGTACATTATTCTCATTTTGGGGGGTTATTTTCTCAGTATTTTTGGTAAATTTTTCTAGGTCAGAGGTTCTATCTTTTATATCTGAGATTCCATCTTCTGCATGATTGAATCTGTTTTTAATACTTTCAAGGGAGGTTTTGGTTTCCTGTATTGCAACCTTCATCTCTAACAGTTCCATTTGATTCTTTTTTATGGAGTTTATTTCCTCCTTCAGATCTTGGAAGAACTTCCTCATCTCCTGGAACTCATTGTCTCTTCTCCTGCATCTTCTGGAGTTTGTTTTCTCTCTTCTCTCACATCTCTGTTAGCTTTGGCACTATGAATATCCTAAATTCTTTATCTGATATTTCCACGAGTTCCATTGTATTGTCTGTGGATGATGAAGGGCTGTTCTTTCCCCTTGGGGGAGAGATATTTTATTGATTTCCCGTATTTCTTGTGTCTGCGGTGGTGGTTTCTGGTCATCTGATGGATCATATGTTACTTCCTACCTTCTTGGAGTTCTGATTATTAGAGGCATGCAGAAGGAGATGGCCTGCAATATTTCTGTGGTTCCGTTTCCCTGATCCTTACCAAGCAGCCTCAACTTTTGTCAGTGAAACTGGATATTAAAAAGGCCTCACAGTTTCAAGGGAATAGGTGTACCAGGGCTGAGCTGCGTGGTCTGAAGTATTCAAATGTTTCGTACTGTGCACCTACACCAACTAGACACTCAATGTGTGGAAGGTGAGAACCAAGGTGAGAAAGCCAGGTAAAAGAAAGGAAACAAAGGAAAAAGACACACACACACACACACACACACACACACACGAAAAAAAAAAGAAAAGAAAAGGGAAAAACATTAAAAATAAAAAAGTAAAA